CGAAGATAAATGAGGGATACTAATGTATTCATGTTTGTTTTGGAGACTGATAGAAATGTAAATCCTGGTTGTAATTAAATCGCCTAATTGATAATTTTATAATGTAGACTGAGTATAACGTTTATTGCACTTCTGTAAACAACACATGTATATTACTTAATTGCTAATTGATTATTTATTCTGTCGTTATGATMACTGTATAAAAATTGTGATCTTTCAGCGTTACATGCATATTACAAGTGACTTGGTTCAATTCAATTTCGATAAAAACACAATTTATAAAATGGCTTGTGTCGCTAAAAATTCTAAAACTATGTTAATTTACTTGTTGGTTGGTTGTTTTTTCCAGGTATGCATTTTTAATTGTTTTGTCCCGAGTATTTATGAATAAATTTAAAGAACTAATATTTATTTATAATTATATTTACCTAATACTAAAAATCAATAATATTTGTTGTTACCTACCTTCATAAAAAAAAATATATATATATTTTTTTTTAATATACAACATGAATATTTATTATTATGATCTAGGTTTATTATTAAAAATATTTATTTATGTTTGCGTTTAAAGGTTATTTGAATTGAAAAGTAGTTCAGTACCTACTACTTATGTGAAAATTGAAAAATAATTAATATTTTAGATTGATAAAAATACAAAACCATGCCTACAACAAACTGTCCGGTTTCAAAAATTTTAAAAAATACATTCGTCATAGATTATCTCTAAGATTTGCCTTTTGCTTTTAAATGTAAAAGTCTATTCAGCTTTAAGTTTGGATTTTCACTTTATTACTTTTGTTAAAATGGAAGAACYAAAATATATTATTAATGGTCAGATTTTTTGCACCKATGCCCGAAGGTAAACCATTCAATATGTTCAATCAGAATGTACATTTTTTTAGAATAGTTTTTACAAAAGGTCATATATTTATGTATTAAAAAATTTAACACATAACACATCGTTCTAGAACTATAAAAAATATTTTCACAACATTAGATCTTACAATATAGGTGACATAAAATGTATATCGTCGATGGTAATGCCAGCTATTATTCGGCGTTCATACTTCTTATTAACAATAATTATATCACTAATATTATTTCTGCATTAACGAATTAAACAAACGTTTTAATAAACCACTTTTACATGTGATCATTATTCTATGTGCGTAACAGTTAATATTTCATTTTTATTTTACCAATCGTTTAAATTATTAGTGTGAATTAAATAAATAGGCATTCTTCCTATCTCATTGATTAACTTAATTTAATGTACATCAACGATTAGATGGTAGTATGTAAAACTATTATAGAGTCATAGAAAACAAGATTCTTTTAAGTTATAGATTTTTTTTTCTTAAATCTAATGTTTTTTTATTAAAATTAAAAATACCCAAAAACCTGGAACTAGACTTCTTTTTTTCCCGTGTTATCGAGAACGAGAGAGGAGACTGCTGTTAACATTGGTTCCCCCTGGAACTAGACCTCTCCCATGGCCCATTTACTCACTCCCAGTGTGACARTTGATAACGTGATTATTTTTATTTTCCTATTACAGCTGGGCAACGTTCACACTACACCCGTGCCTGCAGGTTCCCAATCGACGAAACCTCCAACCACACCAAGTAAAACGGCCTCGAATGTGTCGGACAAGACGCCAATAAATAATGTGGAGAACGTCGGTGAAATTTTTAAGTCACTGATCAARAACACTAGATCGACGGTATCGGACTTTACTAGTGAAACCAATAAATCATTGGAGGAGATTGCCCAAGCCGGTGGCCGGGCCACGCTTGCTCTGGGATACCTGGTGAGTCAGCTTTTTGACGGAATCAGCGCCACCGTGGCCACCGGTAGTGGTTACTTGGCCAACGGCATCAGGAGCATTGACGACATCGTTGGAGATTTGCCGGTCGTGGGCATGGTCACTGGCACCCTCGACGCAGTTACTTCACACGTGTCTAACGCCGTCGGCGAAATGTCCGCCAACGGCAGGAAAACTAGGAAAAGTATGTTCGATGGCCTACGCGAACAGCTTAACCGAAGCAGCAGTCGTCTGTCAAGTACCGAAAATTCTAGCACCAACTCCACCTAAAACATGTAGCGGTTTGCTACAATTTAGGCATCACATATCGTTATAATGTTAAAAAATGTATTTAAGTAAAAAAACAAAAAAAAATCCAAAACTCGATTTTCGTAACTTAGTAGTCACTTGTCCTAAAAATTGTTATTTAATATGTTTTATAATTCCGTAACAGTTGGTCGTATGGGCAGTATGTAGTTATAACATTATTGAACTATCAAAATCGTGGACATACAGACATTTCTTACACACATAAGAGTTAGATGCCTACCCAATAAACCTCCGAAATTATTATTATTTATTGCGAACTTATTTTAATTTACATGAACATGGCCCTCTGGGTAGAGCTCCATATACCAACCATGGACCCATACATTTACAACTGCATTMCACTTGGGTACTTACTATCTAGTATCTATATACGTGAAACGCAATACCTTAAAACCACAGATTTTAATATTTTTAACATATATTCTCTATAGTAAATCTAAGTAACCCAATGAAAAACTACCGTGTAATATTTTTAACTGTTGAGTTCATTATACATCCACTATTTGTTACTAAATAAAAATAATTGTATTTATTTATACTAATCTTAGTAATCTTAAATAGGTAGTTAAAATAATACTAAAGCCTAAAATGAAAATTTTATTGTATTAATGAACTATTAAAAAAATTACAAAATATAATGAATAAATCTGAATAAACGTGTGCATTATTTCAGTCTCCGATTCCTTGCATGACTAAAAAAATAAAAAATATATACAATTATTGTAGTACATCGAATAAAACGTCCAATATCCAACTAGTAACATTATATTACAAACATGAACTTGTGGATATTAATTTTWAAAAGTTTATAAAAATAAAAACAAAAATTAGAAATTCTTACGTGATCTTTTTTGAGCTGTTTTGTAGAAAATATTTTCTAAATCATCAAATCCTTTCTCGTTTAGATTTATTTTATATCTAATTGGTTAGGTTTTAATTTGTATGTCTGATAATTTTATGACGGGGCACTTTTACCTAACTTTCAGTCTTCAGGTATTAATATCATCAGTTACTTATTTATTAGATTATATTGATCGCCATTTAGGTGCCAGAAAAATATTACTAACTATTTTAYGTATATCAGTTACACCGATTTGATTTTGAATTTTGATATAGATACGTTCACTCAGTGTTCTTTCTATCATAGGTAGTAAATTATTATTGTTATTTATATGCATAGTTAATTTAATCTTTTGTCATCTTATAA